TTTTTTTTTTTTTGGTGTTTTATTCTTTCTTCTCTTGGCCAGGAATAAAATGTTATTAAAATTTTTACGGAGGAAGAAAAATTAGAATGAGAAATGATGCATGAGGCCTGACCAGCCAAGCCTGTCGCTGTAATAGGACGGGCCTGAACTGCTTTGGAGGCCCCAAGAAATTTCTGTTCCATTTTTTTTTATATACAACAATTTTTGTTCTAATTTGCTCTGTATATATATAGACAAAATTTTCAATAGTTACTTTCTATATATATTCTTCTTCTAATCTATTACGTTTATAGAGAAGAGGGTGTTCACCATTAAATCAAAAAATGTTTACAAATATTAATTATGGTTAAAAAAGAAATTCAGCAAAATATACTCAGATTAAACCAACATGTAATTACAACAAATCACGATATAGAGAATGCGATCAAAATAAATAATAAGAACATACCTAGTATTACAGACGTCATATTATTTAAAATTAAATACTGTAATTATATCATTTTTTTCTCAAGTAATTTACATCATTAGTCACCAAAATTTTAGTAGGTTACAATTAATCCTTTTTTTTTATTTTATTTTAATGAAAGGGCCCTAAACTCTTAAACAATAGCAACTAAAATATTTCCTTTTATATCCGTCAATTCTTTTAAACATCTAAACATCCAAAAAAGAGTCAATGGAGTAGTTTCTTTTTTGAATATGTGTCAACCTCTAATTTACTCATTCATGTTTTTGTGCCAGCACCCAGCGTGCAAACCTGCGCGCCAACGCGCCCCAGACTGGCACACAGCCCAGTGGCGCATCTCATTTTAGTGAGGTTTATAAATTCAAAAATAATAAAAAATAGGTCAATATGAAAAGTTTAAGAAAGTTTATAGATTAATTTTTAGTTATAGAAATTAATAAGTCATAACTTATCAAGTTATGGTTCATAATCAGATAAATTATGTACAAACTTATCAAGTTATGGTTCATAGTCAGACAAGTTATGAACAAAAACCGTGAATTATGGACAATAACTTGTCAAGTTATGGTTCATAATCAGACAAGTTATGGACAAAAACAGTAATTTAGCATATTTATTAACTTATATAAACTATTGACCTATTAATTTTAATTAATCTCAAATCTTAACATACTTCTCTTTCTCTCGTATAAATTTGATACACCGTGAAACAATCATCATGAGGAATTCTTCACGCAAACAAATTCTCCTTGAAATTCTGATAAAAACCTCCTTATTCTCTCTCTTTTTCTCTCCAAAAGGTGGCTGGAAAAATATGAGAATGGACTCCCAATTCAATTCCAAGGTGTCCTATTTATAGATTTCTCCATTGGGCTCAAATTAGTTCCAAACACTTACAAAACACAAAAACCTAATAAAAACTCTAAAACTTTGAGAATCAAACAAGGAAAATATGGAGAAATTCAATGAAAAATATCAAGAATTATGAGCTTATTAAATTCCCTCACACGTAGCTTTTACTTGTCCTCGAGCAAACCTAAGATGAAAACAAAATAACAAAACCAAAACTCTAACCTTCCGATCTTTGGTCTCAGCGAATAATAAGAGATCATAGTTTTGAAATCAAACAAGCATTAAAGCAAATCCATCATTCATTCAAAAGCTAATACATCCTAAAATAATCATACTCGTGTGTGTGAAATAACCAACGTTACCAACATGAAACTACACATGAGTATGATTATAGTGGACAAATATGAAACAATAATCAAATTTTCCTTGATGATTATTTAACCTAGAAGTATATATCATTATCACGACTTTCGGTTTGTTAATTTTCAAGGAAAATAGAAAAATAAAAAAGGTGCCGTTGTTTCCTTTGTTTTTGTTTTTGTGACAAGTATTATTATCAACAGATCGATGCGCAAATATTTTACATGGTTGCGAAGCATAGCCTTGCCGTGCAAGCTAGCTCCATTAATGAATGCGCTGGCAGCTAAATTGACTGTCGTATTCTTTGACCCAATTACCTTGGCACAACCTACTATACGACTTTGGCACAAATTTTCCATTAATATTCAACACACGTGCTTCATTTCTTCTTTGTAGGAGCAATATATATATATATATATATAATATTACAGTACTATTAGCTCTCTCAAAGCTATAAATACATACATATATATATATTTATATTATGCCAAAAGAAAACACTACTGATCGAAAAAGTGAAAGAGGTTAGATATGGAAAACAAAACGTCCAAGGTTCCCCATGTCTCTTCCTTATCTATATATATATATATATATAATATTACAGTACTATTAGCTCTCTCAAAGCTATAAATACATACATATATATATATTTATATTATGCCAAAAGAAAACACTACTGATCGAAAAAGTGAAAGAGGTTAGATATGGAAAACAAAACGTCCAAGGTTCCCCATGTCTTAGCGCTTCCTTATCCAAGTCAAGGGCACGTTAACCCTATGCTCCACTTCTGCAAGCGCTTGGCTTCCAAGGGCCTCAAAGCCACTTTGGCCACCACCATCTTCATCTCCAACACCTTCAATCCCCAGTCAACGGCCTCCGTGCAACTCGACACCATATCTGATGGCTACGATGACGGCGGCTTCACCCACGCCAAGAGCATCGACGACTACCTTGCGCGGTTACAAGTTTCTGGCTCCAAAACCCTGGCGGAGCTCATCACAAGTAACATCACATTTAAGATTTAGATTTTCATACCATTTTTTTGTGTGAAACTTTAAATTGTTTCTCTAATTTAAAAATAATTATAACTATTCCCCACTCAATAATCGAAACTTTTACTATTTCTTACATATTTTATATTTTGTGTGATCTTGACTAATGAAAGAGATATTTTTTTTTTTGGGCTCCACCACGGACTTATTTCACAGGGCACAACAACTCAACGTACCCAATTGACTGCATAGTGTACGACGGGTTTCTACCGTGGGCGTTGGACGTGGCTCATCAGTTGGGCATAAAAGGAGCTGCTTTTTTCACTCAGGCATGCACTGTGAACTACGTCTATTATTGCGTGCACCATCGACAGTTGACGCTTCCCGTGACTACTTTCCCGGTCTCCATTGATGGATTGGAGTTATTGCTTGATCAGCTTCACGACATGCCTTCTTTCATAGGCGTTGAGGGTTCATATCCAGCTTACTTTGAGATGTTGTTGAGCCAGTTTTCTAATGCGCACAAGGCTGATTTCGTCCTCGTCAATACCGTCTATGAGCTGGAGGAACAGGTATTCTCTATGCTTCACCTTATAATTGATACATATTGGGTCAATCCCATTTTTAGTCCTACTAGCTAATATTGTTATTTTGTTGTCCCCAATTTTTAACATGTCCAAAAACAAAACTCTTGATCTATATGAAATTTCTCCGTACGACTGTCAAAAACTTGACTGGAAAAGGCACCAGAGGATAATGTGCAATTTAATTAGTAGAGGTTGATTTTATAATTTTAATTGTTAGGCCACGATTATTAAGAGGAAAACTCCGACTTCTTATCATCGAGATCATACTACTATACGAGCCAAAGTAATCAAGACCCACTAGGAATAAATACTGTGATACTCAATATATGCGTCGTTAATTAATTGGTTGTCATTAACAGGTGGTCGATTCCATGTCAAAAGTTTGTTCCTTGCTGACAATCGGGCCAACAATCCCATCCATCTACTTAGACAACCGTATCGAAGATGACAAGGATTATGGCATTGATCTCTTCACATCAAACGACTCATCTACATTTTTGACCAATAATTGGCTCAAAAATAAGCCAGTGGGGTCTGTTGTTTATATGTCCTTTGGAAGCATGGCATGCTTGAGTGGCAAGCAAATGGAGGAACTCGCCTACGGACTAAAAGCCACCAACTTTTACTTCATATGGGCGATTAGGTATTCTGAAGAGGCAAAGCTCCCGGACAAGTTTGCGCAAGAGACACGTGACAAAGGGCTAATAGTGAATTGGAGTTCCCAAGTTGAAATTCTCTCACATCCTTCTGTTGGGTGTTTTTTCACACATTGTGGATGGAACTCCACAATTGAGGCTCTCAGTTTGGGAGTGCCAATGGTGGGAATGCCACAATGGACCGACCAACCCACCGATGCCAAACTTATTGAGCATCTGTGGAAGGTTGGAGTAAGAGTTAAGGTTGGCGAGGATGGGATTGTGGGGAGAAAAGAGATTGAGCATTGCATTAGGCAAGTTTTGGAGGGTGATAGGGGAACAGAAATAAGAAAGAATGCCAAGAAATGGAGGAACTTGGCTTTGCAAGCAATTAGTGATGGTGGCAGTTCCGACAAGAACATCCGTGAATTTGTATCAAAATTAAAAATGAAGAACGTTAATTAGTACTGGTAAATTTATTCTACTGTGTGCGTGTGTGTGTTTGTGGGCATAAAATGTTTACTAAATTAAACTTTTCAAATAAATGTTTCCACATGTATGTGTCCGTACGTGTAGTATTTGATGAAATTAGACCAAACCTTTTCTTTCTGAAGGTTTTTTGGCTCGTCCATATATATTGGTAATTTACATATTATTGTGTGTTTATTTTTTATTATATTATATTTACAAATACATGTAAACTTGGATTGTAATGATTGATTGCACCGACCAAAGTGCTCCGTCACAATCTCTGGAAGGACATCTTCGGTGGAGATTATCGAGGTGCGGAGGAGGATCACCTAGGGGTGATCTTCGCAGAGGTCGTCGACATGAGAGAAGAGGAAGACGCCTAAGGGTTTCGGTGATTTGGCAATGGTCGGATCGCAAGTTGATCGTGCTGCCATGGGGGAGTCGTGCCATAAGTATTTTGTTCAGTAAATAAAAGATAAAAAAATATTACGACTTTTTTTAATAATTGATTGGGTTTTTACCACATTCGTCTCGTGACTTAGTAAATTGCTATTTAAAATTTTAATTTTGCTAGTTATTTTCTGAAATTGTAAATTTATTACAATGTGTATCATTTTAACGATGATTATGTTAAATTAATGTCAAAAAAATAAATATAGTAAAAAATTTTAACATTTTAATTTAAATGTAATACATGTTTTTTATTATATTAACTTTTAATCTCTTAAATTTAATAAAAAATTTAAAAAAATTTAGTTAGTTGAGACACATTGTAAAAAAATTTAGAAGTTCACATAAGAGAGAAAAATACAATAAAATTAAAGCTTGACCGTCTACACCTCAAAATTTGAGGATGTCCTTGAACCCTTACTAGCTGTTATGTCATGATCCTACAATTGTGATTTGGATAAACATCAGGGTAGCCGTATTTATCACGACATTGCGTTGTTATCGAGGAATAGTTTTTATTTATTTTTGTTTTTTTATTTTTTTTAAGGTCACCTTTTGTTTTCTTCGTTTGTGTTATAATTGTTACGATGTATAATTACTGTACCATTAATTTAATATCTATGCTTTCGTCATCATATACGTCTTTTTGAGTTGATTCTTTTTTTTTTCTTGGACTTTTTGAGTTGACTCTTCAGAACATCGCATTAGACATGTTTCTTTGTAAAACATCCTACGAGTATATATATACATATATATATATATATATCGATAATCCCAAAAGAAAACATTACTTGCTAATATATAGCAAAAGTGAAATTCAAAGAGGCTAATTAGAGATGGAAAACAAAACGTCCAAGGTACCCCATATATTAGCCCTTCCGTATCCGAGTCAAGGGCACGTTAACCCGATGCTCCAATTTTGCAAGCGCTTGGCTTCCAAGGGCCTCAAAGCCACTTTGGCAACCACCGTCTTCATCTCCAACACCTTCAATCCCCAGTCACCGGCCCCAATCCAACTCGACACCATATCTGACGGCTACGATGACGGCGGCTTCACCCATGCCAAGAGCATCGACGACTACCTTGCGCGGTTACAAGTTTCTGGCTCCAAAACCCTGGCGGAGCTCATTACAAGTATCCCATATGCTCCAAATTTAAGGTTTATATATATTTATTTTTTAAGTTTAAAAAAATTGTTCATATAAAAAACACTGAAATATTTCACAGGGCACAACAACTCGCCACACCCAATTGACTGCATAGTGTACGACGGGTTTCTACCGTGGGCGTTGGACGTGGCTCATCAGTTGGGCATAAAAGGAGCCACTTTTTTCACCCAAGCATGCACTGTGAACTACGTCTATTATTGCGTGCACCACCGAAAGTTGACGCTTCCGGTGTCTTCTTTCCCGCTCCCCATTGATGGATTGGAGTTATTGCTTGATCAGCTCCATGACATGCCTTCTTACATAGCCGTTGAGGGCTCATATCCAGCTTACTTTGAGTTGCTGTTGAACCAGTTTTCTAATGTGCACAACGCTGATTTCATCCTCATTAATACCGTCTATGAGCTAGAGGAACAGGTATTCTTTTTCTATCACCTTATAATCGATTACTCTTTTGAGTTGATTCCGATTTTAGTCCCCAAAATACCATTAGTACTCATGTCATATTTTGGTCTCTAATTTTTAAGTAGTCTTGGAAAAGGCCCTCAATTTATGAAAATTTTTCCAAATTATTATTTTGTTGTTCGTCCTAATAATAAAATCTTCATTAAAAAAATCGCATGGCGACCCAAAGGTCTCAGTTAGTGCGTGTCCAAAAGTGAGGCGTGTCCAAGTGTGTGAGATAAGTGTCAAGTAAATATCTAGTGTGTGCGTGCAAGTCTACTTATTAGTGAGTGCGTGCGGACTGCAGAGTCCAAGTGACTGGAGAGTGCTTGTGTTGTAGAATGTAGTGTAGTGGGTTTTGTCGTCTTGATTATTGAAGTGTGTGTTGTAATTACTTTTTCATATTATAAAATTAATTACAATAATATTGTGTTCAACATTTAATTATGACTGCAGGTAGTGGATTCCATGTCAAAACTTTGTCCCTTGCGGCCAATTGGACCAACAATTCCATCCATCTACTTAGACAGCCGTATCAAAGATGACAAGGATTATGGTCTTGATCTCTTGATCACATCAGACGACCCATCAATTTCCACAAATAATAATTGGCTCAACAATAAGCCAGCAGGGTCTGTTGTTTATGTGACCTTCGGAAGCATGGCAAGCTTGAGTGACAAGCAAATGGAGGAAGTAGCGTCTGCACTAAAAGCCACAAACTTTTACTTCATATGGGCTCTTCGGGCTTCTGAAGAGGAAAAACTCCCCCACAAGTTTGTCCAAGAGACTTGTGACAAAGGTTTAATAGTGAATTGGTGTTCCCAAGTAGAAGTTCTCTCACACCCTTCTGTTGGGTGTTTTGTCACACATTGTGGGTGGAATTCTGCGATTGAGGCTCTCAGTTTAGGAGTGCCAATGGTGGGAATGCCGCTGTGGACCGACCAGCCCACCGTCGCCAAACTTGTTGAGCATTTGTGGAAGGTTGGGGTTAGAGTTAAGGTTGATTATGATGAGAGTTATAATGTGATTATGGAAAGAAAAGAGATTGAGTTTTGCATTAGGGAAGTTATGGAGGGTGATAGAGCCGCAGAAATGAGAATGAATGGTAAGAAATGGAGGAACTTGGCTTTGCAGGCAATTAGTGAAGGTGGCAGCTCCGACAAGAACATCGATGAATTTGTATCAAAATTGAAAATGACCGACATTAATTAGTACTTGTAAAGCTCATTCTATTGTGTGCATGTGTTTGTGACCACAACCTTTAATAAAATAAGAACTTTTTAAATTGATTGTTTCCTCATGTGTGATTTTGTGTATTATTTGACGAAATTAAAACAAAGCCTTTTCTTTGTGAAACCGTTGCTTCATCGATATGGTAATTTACGAGTTAATGTTTGTTTTGTTTTGATTTTGCTTACACATACATGTAAATACTTGGAATATTTTAATGATTTATTGTACCGATAAAAATAGATTTACAAACTTTAAAAGGTCCTTGAATTTGCTTTTTTTTTTTTTCTTCAACGTCCTTTTATTGTGAAAATTGCAAGTGCGCGTTATCATAATAAGTAATAAAGTAATGAGTAAAGTATCATTTTCTCTATGATTGTGTTAATTGTAATTAAGTAATGAAATTAGTATTTGAATGAGTGAATAAATGAGAATAATAAAGAAACAAATAAAAGTAAAAACAAAATAAATAATTAAAACACTAGAGCAACCCATATTTTTTTGAAAGGAAAATTGCATTTTATTAAAATACTAATAAACAATCGTCTTGGTACAATGCTAATCCATTAGAGAGACAAACGCACGTTTGAGGCTCGAAACTGAGAAAGCACCTCGGCACACTAACAACGAGCGGACTAAAAGCTCAACTAGAAAAAACCCCTCTCTTCAACATAAGTTGTCGAGTCCTGGAGGGGTAGGTCGTCAAAATCCATAGAAAGGGGACATCTACACGGCGCATAAAAAATTCTAACCGGACCAAGACTACCCTATTGGCATTTAGCCGAACACTTAAATCTAACAAAAAATAACAAACTAGACGAGAGTTGGGCGGGGAAACTAATAACCTTATTACAAACACAAAAGTGACAAAAAGAAAAAAACCTTCGACCATCGCCGGTAGAAACTTTCGGTGAAGGGCGTATGGCCAAAGGACCATCGAGGAAGATAGCCAACGAAGAGATGTCAGCCACCAAGTAAAAAACTCCCCTAAGAAATGAGACCGTCAATTCAGCTTCTAAGCTCCTAATTGGTTCAGATCTGCCCAAATGGAGCTACCACACCGTACACTACCACCACCAATGAGAAGTCCACGACGAGACGAGTCGGATGACCAAATTTCATGGTTGGGGAGCCCGACGACGCGCCCAGAAGTGGTGCCAAAGCTCTGGCCAGCATCTGCTCTCTAAGAACCTTCTCACTCTCTCTAATTCTCTCTCTCTCTCTAGAAAACACTTCGGACAAACAAAACTCTTTCAAGTTTTTTGCAACTTAGAGCAACCAATATTCACCATAAGTATTCCACTCTACTTCTTTATTTTTATTATTCAAATTTAATATTATCGAAATTGACAGTCGAAAATCTCTAATTTATGTAATGTTCTCTTCCGAATTACAGTAAAAATCCCCTCAATTACAACAATCAAGAAGTCATTAAGTGATTACCCCCAAACGTGTACAAAAATAAGCGGTCAATTGTAGTACAATTAGGACGGTCGATCCCACAAGGAGGTGATAAATTGAACAAGAAACGATTAGCAAATAAAAGCATTAGGAAAGTAAGCAATCAAACAAAGAAGAAAAATGAGTGTTTTTGATGATTCTTTTAAACAATTTAAAATGGAGAAAATTCAATAATTAAAAGTGGTAAGACATTGAGAATCCCCTATATGCCTTGTTCACCTATTTGGATTTTGATTCATAAATTGACTCAATTGAAAGTTTCACATCCCAAACAATCAATCGGAAAATAAATATTTGAAAAACTTGTACATAAAAATGTATTTGAGTAAATAAAATTCTAACGTTTAGAACTAGGAAAAATTATCTTATGAGAAATCTAAAGGTGACAATATACCGTTGGCAATATTGCAGTAAAAGACTACTCATAAAACAATCCCTACCAATATATAATATCATGCAACAATCACATAAAAAGAGCTTGACTAGATTTATATCAAAGTTGACAATAAAATATATTGATAAGAGGAAGAAATATGATAAAAGAAAATTATTTACTCAAATGTATAAAACTTACAAACCATTGGAGAATCAAAATCCAAACAAGTTCACTACACATATAGGATCATCTCTAGCCTCACCCAAATACTCTAGCCTAGCTTGCACATAATTCCCATAAAATTCTAAAAAGAAAGTATGAGAATAAGAACAAAACAATAAGAGAAAATGTGTAAGAATTTAGGCTCAAAATCAATAACCTAATACACTTCACAAAGTCCCTATTTATAGAGTTTTTAGGGCATGTGAAAAAACACTCAACAAATAAAAGAATAAAGGGGCGTTTTATCCAAATAAATTGGATTTACAAGGATTAATTCTGGGAGTGAATGCTAAAATCATCCCAACGAAACAAAACAGAATGCTAGCTGAAGAATCCCAAATGAGTGGGATGCGGGTCGCGTAAAGAGAGGCTGAGAGGAGAAAACTACCGACAGAAGCATCAAATCTGACACACGGCGCGCGCTGATTCGCGGAGAAGAAGAAATGGCCGACAGCTGCTTCCGTTAGGGACACGTGGTGGGAATTGATTGGGAAGCTGCTGTAATACGGGACCCACACGAAGAAGAAAGGAAAACCGGGTGACGCGTGCATGGAGGAGACTCACGCATGGGGAAGGGCGGTGCGCGCCAAGCGCGCATGCACAAAGGGAACATTGGGTCCCACGCGCCTGCGACTCAGCAGAAAATGACACGTGGCGGAGATTGGGACTAGCGCGGCTTGGCCGGCTTGGCACGGCTCAGACGGCTGGCTGACGGGCTAATGGCCTCTTTCTTCTTTTTTTCTTTTTAGTTTTGGCCCAAATGCCTTATTTCCCTTCAAAACAAATTAAATTAAATTAAAATCAAATACTTCCACATAAAATTAATTCCACGAAAATATTTAATTAAAACTTAATTTATTTAGCAATTATAAACAATTTAAATGCATTTTCATGCATTTATCATTAAGTATCATAGATTTTCATGTAATGAGCACAGAAACTATACAAGTATATTCCTATCTCACATCATATGTAATCTATGGCATTCAACACAATGATCGAAAAATATAAATCTCCTTCCGATCTCATTATGAATTAACAAATTATCTAATTAGTGGTCAATTAATTAAAAAACATTAAGACCAATGAAAACACCTGATCTTAAATAAAATAAACATTGAACAGCTCGAATAAAGAGAGGCTATATTGTATATCTAGCTAGCAAGAAAACTAAACATAAATAAAAATAAATAAAAAGATGATGTTAGATTTGACATAACTAAAAAATAAAAATAAAGAATTAGAAATTCAGAAAATAAAATCTAATTAGAGTTTTTCCTTTAAATCTTCTTCTTCTTCACCTTGTAGCCTCAATATTCAATAATACATTCTCCAATAATCAAAAACCTAAATAAAATCTAAATAAAAAAAATCCTAAAAACTATCCCAAATACCCCAAAATAATTCTATAAATATTTCTCACTATCCAATAGAGCTCTGTTTATTTTTGGATATTGTGAATGAAGGAATCGTGCTCTGGTTGGAGGGGATGAAAGGTTTTTCAAAGCCTCAAAATTATGCGTCAGAGAAAAGAAAGGGAGGAGCAATTAGGGCTCTTACATGCTCACCGCGTAGCTAGAGTGGGAGGCTTCATGACATGGCGACGACCCGTTGGCCGACGTTCGAGGCACACGGGAAACAGCAGAGATGCGAAGCATGAGATTCAACACGCTGGCAGGGCTTGGCTTGTGCTCATAACACATTGGACAAAGAGAGTGAAATGCACTCGCGCGCTGGAATTGGCCTGGAGCCGATCGGACGGCTGTGATCGCGGATAAAATACGCTTAATCCATGCGAGCTTGGGATTTGTTCTTATCCGGATTTCTCTTTGATTTTTGAAGTATTTCTAATCCCAATTTAGCTCCAAATTGCACTTTTCACCTAATTTAAACACAAATGAGAATCAATAATTAAAGGAGAAAACTAAATAAAATCAAATAAAATAACCTAAAATAAAATAAAGTGAAACAAAACAAAATGAGATTAATTTAAACTAAAAAATAAATTAAATAAATAAAAACATCAAGTACAAAGCCAATTTAAATGTAAATAAAAGCCAAAATAACCCTTGAATGGAGTTATCACCTCGCATTTAAAAAGTTGCATTTGATCTTGTAATTACTGTATGAAAAAGTTGCGAAAAGAAAAAGGATCTTCAAAACCGGATGTGGAATAACTTAGAGTGATTTAGAATATAGTAAAAATTTTATATTAAAGCTTAAATTTAGCAAAATTTTTGAAATATTACAGGAATTTCAAAATTTTATATCATTTTGATGCCATTAAAATAATGACTATATTATTATATAATACAAAATATGATATTATTATCATAATTACTATGTCATTTTTACTATATTTATAATATTTTAAAAATTTTGCTAATTCAAGATATGAAATTTTGTCATGTAGTGTAATTACTTCAATTACTTACATATGAAAATGTTATCTATCTTCCCAGCATAATCAGTTAGGAGTTCTAGAAACAGTCGATTCCTCTCCTGGACAACTCCTTGGAAGTGGGGCTCCACAGAGTTCAAAATTCTTTGCATATGAACTCGCTTCAAAGCTTTGCAGTTGAGTACTTATTGGAATCTTGCCCGATAAATTGTTGTTTGACAAGTCCAGCACATTAAGCCGGGGCACTTAGAGAGAGGCTTGAAGGGATTCCACAAGAAAGTTGGTTGTTTGATAGATCAATAGCTTCTAACAAGTTAAACCTACCAATCTCTGACGGAATTCGCCCACTGAAGTGATTTCTTGATAGGTTCAGAAAAACCAGATCAATAAGTTACAGTAATTTCCTTTGGAATTTCCCCGGTTCAGCTTATTGCTTGTGTTCACCGTTATACTCACACGGCAGAAAAATAAACTGAAACAAAATAACAGAAAAATAGAGAAGATAAAGATTTGTATGTCATATCTTTAGAAGGAAACCGGAGTGAAATCCAAATACCTCAAATATCGCAACTCAAGCAATGAAGAACTGAGATTACCTCTTACTGACAAAGATGTGTAATCAGTTCTACCAAAGGTTGGAGGAGAAAGATCAAGCTTCATCACATGACCGGATCTGTTGTCACACCGAATTCCAATCCATTCGCAGCACTCCTTTTTTTCTTCTTCATTTCCCCACGAAGAAAGAAGACCTTTTTCCTTTGCGCCTTCTCCAAGATTTGAATCCTGTTTAAGCTTGAGGATTGCTTGTTTCTCGGCCTCTATGCACCTGAGTTTTGGTTCTCCTACTATTGAAGGGGATCCATGAGCACCTCTCAAGTAAATCAGGTGCACTATATTAAACACAGAAATTGTAAGAGACAATCTACTCATAATTGCTCCAAATAGCACAATAAAGACGAAGAGAAATACTCAAATTTCTATAACTGTATTGATGATGATAGATTGTTAGTTCTTTCAAAGAATTCCTATTAAAACATATTTAAGCTTGACTGATCTCTGTGATATTGGCTCATGGCTATTGGTCCGTTTGTTAAAGCTTAGATTGTTAGTTCTTTCAAAGAATTCCTAATAAATCCAATTTAAAAATTTTATATTAAAGCTTAAATTTAGCAAAATTTTTGAAATATTACAGGAATTTCAAAATTTTATATCATTTTGATGCCATTAAAATAATGACTATATTATTATATAATACAAAATATGATATTATTATCATAATTACTATGTCATTTTTACTATATTTATAATATTTTAAAAATTTTGCTAATTCAAGATATGAAATTTTGTCATGTAGTGTAATTACTTCAATTACTTACATATGATATTTAAGCTAGTAATTCTATCTCTCTAGCTCATTGTATATAGCGATTCTATATATTTGAAAAGTAATATGTACATATCTTGTTCTTATATGTACACAATTAAAGGTATAAAACAATTGAGGCATGTAAAGGGAAAGTGAATTGTTAAGTATTGAAAGGGAAGAAGGGTTTTGGTATGTGTAGTTTTTAGGATGGGATGTCTGGTATAATTATTTGTTTAATCAAATAAAATAACTTTGATTATATATAATTTTGTTGAAGATAAAAGAGATAATTAAAGAAAAATAAATTATGGTGAGGAATTAATTAAAAGGCTTTCCACCCATTTAAATTTAATTAGGAAAAATGTCATTTTTCCGCCGATTTAATTTAAAAAGTGATCTGTCTTATTAATCTAGTAAAAGCTTTGTGTGGTAGCCAATGCATATGCTGGCAGGTTATCCCCTCCTTTATTGCTTGTGTACGTGTGTCTGTCGACTTGATTGGCTACGTTTCTAAAGATCTTGCAATTTGTGTTGCAGATATATCAACTGAGTAAGTGGGCCTTCTCTTTCTCTACGAGCTTTGCTGTCCCCGTTGTGGTTTCCCTCTTGCCCAAGCACCTTCATCACTAGAAAAAAAAAAAAAAAATGGTGGAAGGCCTATTGATTGCCTGACGCCATCAATAGGAAAGCTACAATTAAAGAACTATGAATTTCTCAACGGAAATTACAAAAGACTAAAAAGAGGCCCGTGGTGTGAGAGTTCAAATCATGTGGTTCTGGTTGGTTCTAAAACAGAACTATAATTTATGATTTGAATATGGGGTTCAAACTATAAAGTTTTGGGTTTGAATTATGTGTACTAGAATCATAAATTTGAATTTGGAGTTTGAGTCAGCCAAAGCTAATAGGGTGGTTTTATTTTTTAGGATAGTTTTAATTTAAAACATCATATCATGATTCAAATTTTGAATCAAAACCATCCAAACTAAACACTGATTTTCTTAAGTTGGATTCAAATCACTTTTTATTTCTTACAAACAACTACAGATTTGAATCAGAACTATAATTTCAGTTCTAAAGCTCTCATAGCAAATGAGGCCTTAATAGTATTTTATTTTATTTTTCCTTTTCTTCACGACTGATTTCACACTAGCCAACAATACTGGGATGCAAGTGGAGGCCGAGCTGGGACCAGTGTTTACATCGCAAATTAAAAGTTTGACGTGATCCTACACATAATACATACAGCTATATATTCGGCGCACAATTATCCCATAAGTAGCGCTATATATATACATATAGCTTTAGCAAATTCCTTAATATAAGATAATTAATACATATAGTACGAAATACGGTAAACCAAAAAAAAAAAAAAAAAAAAACTCTTAAGACTTTAGATAAGATTAATTTGTGATCATCTGAACTGAATGGAAAACAAAAAATGCGTACCTCATGTGTTGGTCGTTCCTTATCCAAGTCAAGGCCATGTCAACCCTATGCTTGAATTTTGCAAACGCCTTGCTTTCTATGGCCTCAAAACCACTTTTGCCAACACCGTCTTCATCTCCAAATCCTTCAACCCTACTCCATCTCCCTCCGTCCAATTCGACACCATCTCCGACGGCTTCGACGATGGCGGCTTTGCTCAGGCTGCTAATGCCGCCGACTACTTAGCCCGGATGGTAGCCGCCGGCTCCAAAACCCTAGCTGAGCTCATAACGAGGCACAACAACTCCTCCAACCCTATAGACTTTGTGGTGTACGACCCCTTCTTACCATGGGCTCTGGACGTGGCCAAGCGGTTCGATTTAGCCGGAGCTGCCTTCTTCACTCAGTCATGCACCGTCAACTATGTGTATTATTGTGTTCATCACGGAGTGTTGAAGCTCCCCATTTCTTCGTTCCCCGTCGCCGTCGACGGCTTTCGGTTTCTCGGTGGCCTTGAAGACATGCCGTCCTTCATTGGAGTGGAGGGTTCTTATCCGGCTTACTTTGAGATGGTTTTGAGCCAGTTTTCGAATACTCACCAAGCTGATTTCGTCCTCGTCAATTCCGTCTACGAGTGGGAGGAAGAGGTTAACTTATTATGGTTTGAGTTTTTTGAATATTGCATAACAATATTCAACGCCATTAGTTTTGATATGAATACATATACATATAATTTTGTCTTTGAATATCTGAATATCAATATATATGGAAGGCCAGCAGGGACAAGGAAGGTCTTCTAAGTTATTGGTTTCGGTCATAGCCGAATCTATGAGTAATTATGTACTATTTTTCCCTTTTAGTCTTTTTCATGTTGAGTTTTGGCTAAAAGCTGTTTTTAACGAGGTATATTTACAGCTTTTCTTCTAAAGTGTAAGTTTCAGCTTTGTCCTCTGAGATGAGTTTCTGGCTATTATTTTGTTCTTGTTTTGGCCTTTTAGGTTATTTTTAGCGATCTGTTTTTTGGATGTTTTATCACAGTTTTTTTTTTTAGTTTTATAATTCTTTTTCCGTTCTTATTAATAATATTGGAGTGGTGGACGTAATAAAGGACAGGTTTCAAATGGGGTGCCAATTTAGTTGGGATGTCTTGATAAATTTAGATACTAATTGTCTATTCTCCTTAATTTATAAATATATATATATATAAATATTTATATATTAGTGATACTTGATCAGCAATATTATTAACTATCTAGTTAATTGTTTTTAAAAAATTATCCAGTCAATATTTGATCAGAAAAAAACGACTAAGTAATGAAATATAAAGTTAAGTTGCTAATCAATTCAGCTTGTATGTGTATCCGCTAGCTGGAGACGTATGCATTCGTTGTAATATGTATGTAGATGCATGTTGTCGTTTTTTTATGCATGCAATCGTTCTATTAAAAAGTCGCGGGATGAGCTAAGAAGTCATGGTATGATTAAAACGACAATGTGATATGTTTAAAATTAGCATGCATCTGGTACTTTCTAATATGAATAAGTTCATTTATTTATGATTACTCTCCATACATTATTCATCTGATCCATACCTAATTAATTAGTGTCAAACCTGATGTATATATTGTTTATGCTATATATATATATATATATATATATGAACAACAGGTGGTGAATTCTATGTCAAAAGTAAGCCCGTTGCTCACAATTGGGCCAACAATTCCCTCAATATACCTAGACAACCGCATCAAAGAAGACAAGGAATACGGCCTTGATCTATTTACGGCAGACTCATCTCTTTCCATCAGCAATTGGCTCAACAGTAAGCCCGAAAAATCTGTTGTTTATGTCTCCTTTGGAAGTATGGCAAACTTAAGTGTCAAGCAAATGGAGGAGCTTGCCTTGGGACTCAAAGCCACAAACTTGTTCTTCCTTTGGGTGGTTAGGGCTTCTGAAGAGCCAAAGCTTCCTCACAACTTTGCCCAAGAGACGCGCGAGTTTGGATTGATAGTGAAATGGTGTGCTCAAATGGAAGTTCTTTCGCACCCTTCTGTTGGGTGTTTTTTCACACATTGTGGATGGAACTCCACAGTTGAGGCTCTCAGTTTGGGAGTGCCAATGGTGGGAATGCCACAATGGACCGACCAACCCACCGATGCGAAACTTATTGAGCATCTGTGGAAGGTTGGAGTAAGAGTTAAAGTTGGCGAGGATGGGATTGTGGGGAGAAAAGAGATTGAGCATTGCATTTGGCAAGTTTTGGAGGGTGATAGGGGAACAGAAATAAGAAAGAATGCTAAGAAATGGAGGAACTTGGCTTTGCAAGCAATTAGTGATGGTGGCAGTTCCGACAAGAACATTCGTGAATTTATATCAAAGCTAATATGATCACTCTGAAAATTATACTAGCTAGTCAATGATTTACCTCTTGCATAGTCACTACGTGTGTATTCATTATGTCAAAGCTAAATAACCAGTACTCTATATGCGGTGTGTTTATATCAAAGTTGTGTAATTATGAATGTATTGGCAAAGTTACGTGAGTACGTATTAATCTTTATTTACTTTATTGTTAAGTATTTTTATTAGTTGACAATTGGCAATTTTGTAAAAATTCAAAAAACATGTTCAAGAAGATTTCGTATTGTAAAAGAAGATTTAGAATCAGATTTGAAGTTAAAGATTGCAGATAAGACATTGGTTGAGATGATATCTACATGTGAATCGACAAAAGAAGCATGGGAGATTTTAGAGATTGTTCATGAGGGAACCGCCGCAGTCAGACAATCCAAAGTGAATATTTTCACAACCAGGTTTGAAAATCTTCGAATGCATGAAACTGAAACTATTTCTGAATTTAATTCATGGTTGTGTGATATAGCTAATGAATTCTTTGCTCTTGGTGAAAAAATTCCTGAGGCAAAACTTGTTAACAAGACGTTGAGATCGTTACCACAGAGATTTTCCTACAAAATCACTACTATTGAAGAGGCGAAAAACATTGAGACTATGAGACTTGATAAATTGATGGGATCACTGAGGACATTTGAAATGAATCTGAGTCAAAATAAGAAGGAAAAGGAGATTTCTAAGGGGATTGCTTTCCAAGCCGAAGTGGAAGATAATGTTGAAGAAGAAGATGAAGACTTAGCGGAGTCTCTTGCTCGATTGACTAAAAATTTTAATAGGGTGATGAAGAAGTTCAATGAGAAGAACCAAACTCCAACTTTCAACAACTCCAACAATTTTCAGAAAAATAAGGGAGTTACAAATTCGTCCAATGATAAGAAGAAGAATAGGAGAATTTAATGCCGGGAGTGCCATGGTTACGGTCACATTCAGTCTGAGTGTGCTAACACTCTCGAAAAGAGGAAGAAGTCTCTCAACGTCACATGGAGTGATGAGGATTCTGAAGGCAACCAGGAAGATGGTGATCATGTGAATAACTATGTTGCTTTCAATGTCTACCAAATGTTCCAAACTGCAGTGTTACAGATCATGTCACAGCTCATGTTGCAACATCATATGCAACACACTCTGAAAAACCAGAAGAAAACATAGATTTTTCAGATTCTGACGGTTCCAGCGATGGTGAAGAACTAACTGAGGAGACAATCCAGGAGGCATATGAAACCGTGTTCAACAAATGGGTTTTGGTAGTTAAAATGAATAAGTCTTTGCAAGAGTGAGTCGATGAGCTTATTAAAGAGAATGATGTACTTGAGAAGGCTACTGTAAACTATGAATTTTGGGCTGTTGAAAAAGAAAAAAAGCTGCAAGAGACAATAGCTGAATTGGATCTGGCACCACAAAATTGGATCACATTCTCTCGATAGGAAAAGCGAGTGGTGATCGACATGGCCTTGACTATACTAGTGAGAGCTCAATGTCCAAAGTAGTGCTTGTGAAGAAGACGCCTGCCCCTAAGCCTCTGACTTCCTCCAGTAAGAAGGTTACTATCTCGTCCCCTCGACATAGAAGGTTTGTCCCCACATGCCATTACTGCGGTTTACCTGGCCACATAAGACCGAGATGCTACAAGTATCTAAATGCTTTGAAGAAAGGTATGTTTATTAATCTACCAAATTCTGTAAACTCAAAGAAGACACCTAACGTGAAGATTGATGTGCAAAATAATTTTTCTAGACGTGTGTGGGTAAGGAAATCTGATTTGAGGTGTCATAAGGCTTATACTTCTTTAGAAGCATGTACTGATGATTGTGGGTGTAGTGATGGTGGTTGCACTAAGCGATTGAAAGGGGTTAAGAGCATTATACATGGAAGAATGCTACATTCAAGGGGAGTAAGACACAGAGAAGATTCAGGGGGAGTAAGTTACAGAGATCAATGCCCTCGAAGATATCTAGTGCGAAGTGTTGCACTGAGTGTTCCAGCAAATGTTACAACATGATCTGCGACATCAGCTGCTGAAGACGTGTCTAGGGTGTGAATTTTTTTTTTTTGGTTGTGTCTTTGGCTTAGTTTTGTCAAAAAGGGGGAGAACAATGTAATTGTTGTAATTTTGTATGTTTTTGAATTTTTAAGATCTTTTGTTAGTTTTGCCAAAAAATGCCAAAGGGGGAGATTGTTAAGTATTTTTATTAGTTGGCAATTTATTGGTAATCTTGTAAAAATTCAAAAAACAGGTTCAAGAAGATTTTGTATTGCAAAAGAAGATTCAGAATCAGATTTGAAGTTAAAGATTGCAGATAAGACATTGGTTGAGATTCAGAGAGATAAGGATAAGGCCTTGGTCAAAGGAAGAAAATGCATGAGTGATTTGAATTTGAACGGATTGTGTGTAGATCTCTTAGAGATATGAATTGTGTTTCAATTTCAAATGAGAAGCTTAAAAGTGGCACCTCACGTGGAAAAGATAAAGTATATTATGGATGCTACATTATAAGTTCGGTTGAGTTTGGTTTTATGTTTGAATTTCAAAGTGTGCTTTATTTGTAAAGTGGATTTGGAGATAAATGAGAGATATAGTACGTGGAGATAAAGCTTAGTTTATCTTTAGGATATATATATATATAAATATATATTGAATTTGTGCGTGGATGTTTTTTGATGGGCATTAACGTGGAGTTGGCTAAAAGGAGATATTGTGAGTTGATTTAATAGAGAGAATCGTGCAGAAAAAAAAGGAGAAGCTTATCTGAGTAAATTTGAAGATAATTCTCAAGAGGTCTTAGAAGATTTATTTAAAGGTCTTGTTTCAGGCCACTAAGGATTTGGGGTTTAATAGAATATTTTCAGAAAAGAGTCTGTGAGTTTTTATGAGCCTAGTGCGCTATTGAGATTGTCCTTCAAAAAAGGGATTTGTTACTTTCGGGAGGAAGCTCTGCCAGTCGAAGGGAGTTCGCCAGGTAAATAGAAGACGTGTGGTGCATGCTAAATAATCACTGTGGAGATTCGTAACAGTAGCGTCATTGTCTAGGAGGGAGTCTTTGAGTGAATAAGTCTGTCCGGTGTCTGTAATTTCTGGAACATAGTAAATTATTTACTGTCTGGGCGTGGCTCCGCATATGTAGGCGTGCGCACCAAACTGCGATATCATATTGTGTGTTCCTTTACTTTCTGCACTTCATTTTATTCGAGCAACTGAACGTAATTAACCCAAATCTAACATTTATTACTCGTCAATGATTTACTTCTTAATAGTCTTTAAGCTATGCCAAACATATCATCTTTATTTGTTGCTATTTAGGGAGTAATCATTACTAGTGAATAAGTTTGTACTACGCAATGCCGAACATAATATAAAACATTGTCGAAACAGGAATTAGTTTATACATATTTCTAAAGTTGGGGGATTGAAAAGTAATTTTTTAAAATTAAGAGGTCAATATGTAATTTTCTAGATATTAAGGGCAACATTATCAATGAGTCAACAATGCAATTAGTAATTTAAAAAGAAAAATGATATTTATCTCCATGAAGATAAAACCCTATACTCATAAAATGATGGGTCCTATTAAGTTGGGTCTCACTTACCCACCTAGTGAGACCCTTTTTATGTGAATAGTATAGTTTTAAAGAGGAATAAAGATGTTTTTTAAAAGTTAAGGGTCTCAACAATACCATTAGTTATTTATTCGACCGCAACATTATCAATTAGCTCACTGAAGAATCAATATTGAGATTTTGAATTATACACGTTTTTTTTTTTTTTTTGAAAGGTATCATACACGTTTCTTTGCAGTTTGCACATATATAAAATTGACAACATATAGGCAACGTTAGCAATTAGCACACTCCAACTAATCTTCCCCTTAAATCCCCAACAGTTTCCCACAAATCAGTACGATGTATAATTACTGTTCCATTAATATATCTATGCTTTTCGTCATCATATACGTCTTTTTGAGTTGATTCTTTTTTTGCTTGGACTTTTTGAGTTGACACTTAAGAATATTGCATTAGACACGTTTCTTTGTAAAAGTATTGCACTTAAGTCCTAAATTGTTAAAATGTTCCACGCGAACGGCCTGTGAAGTAATAAAAACAAGTCAGCGCAGGTGAAATCCACAAATAACAAAAATCTTTCACGGACTTGAATAGAAGTGTGCAATATTTTCAATACTTTGTGGACTCACTGTGAAACATTTTAGTAGTTAGGGACCTAAGTTGCAATTAAGTATTAACCCACTCTATAAATATGTATTCCTAATGAAGCTTAGCCATCATCAATGTTGTATGTGAATTGTCCCACTAACTACTAGAGGCCGCAAAAAAAATCATTATCCCCTGCTTTTGGCCTTTGCCTTGTTTTTCCTTTTTGTGTCCTCTTTCTTAAGAGAGACCATTAAAAAAAAAAAGGAACATATCCATCAAGAGATTGAGATTGAGAAAGAGAGGAAGATGGAAGAAATTAGGAGGGAGAAAGGGACGCACATTCTTGTTATCCCTTACCCTGTGCAGGGCCACATAAACCCAATGCTCCAATTCTCCAAACGTCTCGCCTCCAAAAACCGCCGCCTCATCCGAATCACCCTTCTCGCAACCGAATCCATCTCCAATATCCAAGATTCTTCTTCATCATCATCAGATCATATTTCAAATGTCCACATTCACAACCTTCCAGACCCTCCAAAGGAATTACACGAAAAGTTCGGAAACATTGACGCTTATTTACATCACTTGAAAGCTGCAGTTTCACACAGCTTACCTGATATTATTCACAAAAACCGAGATGAAACCGAGGTTGTCATCTACGATTCTATCTTGACATGGGCTCTTGATGTAGCTAGAGAATTTGATCTCCAGGCAGCACCATTTTTTACTCAATCTTGCTCCAACTTAGCCATATATTACCACCTGTATCAAGCCACAATTAGCATTCCTTTACTAGAGCCAGCAGTGTCGTTGCCGTCGTTGCCGCGGTTTCAGATCAATGATATGCCGTCCTTCATTTCTGTTCCGGGCTCGTACCCGGATATACTGAAGACTATCTTCGATGGATTTCCTCACTTTCATCAAGTCAAGTGGATCTTTTGCAACACTTTCGATATGCTGGAAGAGGAGGTATGTTTCATAACTACGCGCACGTCACTACATATAGCATTTTTTTTTTTAAATCACATGTGTATACGTATGTGATCCTAAAAAAAAAAAAAAAAAAAAAAAAAACGTTCTTTAAGATCTACTTCTATTTTTTAAGGGTCTTCCACTGCAACAATTTAATTAGACAAAAATATTGATGAAAGATGACATTTCATCGTCTACCTAAGGAAGCGTATCGATGCGTGCACTAGTTTTCATACGTAAGTCTTGGTTTAGGGCTATAATATTTGTCTCCTTCCAGATGCAAGATCAAATATGCTTTTGTTATTTATTTATTTATTCTTTTGAGGTGGAAGAATTCTATCTCATGTATGGTTGTTATTACGTTAGGCACTTGGGCTGATTAATTATGCAACCACTACAAGTGGTTAAGTAGCTAAGAGTTACTTAAATATTGGGATTATTAGTGTTGTGAGGCCTTAATTTTTGAGCATTGTGACACTTTAGTCTTTGAACTTCTTCTTTGTAATTTTGTTAGTCTCTCACATTAAAATTGATAAATAATTTTTATAATTTAACATAAATAATCACATTTCTTTTTTCTTTTTGAAAATATAGATAATCATATTTTTATTGTCTAACAATTGAAAATTTTACATAAACAATTACATTGAGTGCAAAATGTTATAACTTTCAATAAGTTTTAATAATACTTAAGAACATTTTGCATATAATATAACTATTTTTGTAAAATTTCAAGTTAATACACATTGAACGTATGATTATTATCTATATTAAATTAAAAAGTCATTAGTCAATTTTCATTTTAGGGACCAAAGCCGTCTACAATTAAAAGTTTAAAGAATAATTTATCAAAATTAAAAGTTCAGGGACTAGGATGTAAAAATGCTCAAAATTCATGGAATAACCCCCTCAAAAGAAAAGAAGAGGAAGAAAAAAACCAACGCCAATAACCCCCTCATAAAGAAAAAAAAAATAACAAAACAACGCTACTATTGGTTTTGATGCAAAAAGTTTGTAAAGCACAGTGGAATGAATTTGAATACTTATTTAAAATAGTTTGCTCTCGTAGTGTAAAATAGTTATATCATTATTAATTTTCCTATTTACTCAAAGTATGAGTTTGATGATTTTGAGTATGCATATAATAACTTTTGAAAAGTCAAAATTGATTCTATTCGAAAATATAAATTGCACCAACATTAAGTTTAACAACTGAAATAAAGTATTTTCACATCCCATGTGGTATGGGCGTGGGGCATGCAATCACGAGAGGAAAATTTATAGAGAGAAGAAGAGAAATTTTCTGAGTTTATCAATCTGTTATTGATGGATTGAGAACCGATTTTTATTGCAGTCATGTAATTGATCCTCCTTAGCTAACTTAAGTTCTAACTAAGCTAAGCAATACAACTATTAATTATTTAATTTAATGGACCTTGATAATGAGACCACAGAACTGAACTACCCTTTAAAAAGTGGGCCATTTGGTGGCTTGATGACAGAGAAGGACATTAATACATGAATCCATTTTACACATGCACGTGATCACGTACATATTGGATAGCTACATTATATGCTTTCTATTTGCTTGCAAATACACAATTTTGCACTTCTACAAATTAAGACCACACATTTTTAGCTATCATACCTCACTAAAAACTCCAAGTAAGGAAACAATTAGAAGAGAGATCATATGGAGCAAGAGAAAACAATATCACTAGTCGCAAAAAAAAAAAAAAAAAAAAAAAAAAAAAAAAAAAAGAAGAAGATGGAGAAACAAGAGAAAGTCCATGTACTAGTACTTCCAATTCCAGTTCAAGGCCATATAAATCCAATGCTCCAGTTTGCAAAGCGCCTAGTATCCAAGGGGCTGAAAATCACACTAGTTACGGCCTTCATTAACGCCGAGTCCATTCAAGCGCGAGCCGGAGAAATCGAAATTGAGAACATTTCTGATACAACAGAAGTAGACAGAGATGTAAGTAATGCCGAAGCTTTTCTCAAGGAGTTCCATGAGCTTGTATCTCTAAAGCTACCACAAGTCATAGAGAAACTAAAGTACACTGGTAATCCGGCGGGTTACCTTATCTACGACTCCGTCGCACCACAGGCCCTAGACATTGCCAAACAGCTTGGCCTCCCCGGAGCCCCGTTCTTCACCCAATCGTGTGCCGTGAATGTCCTATTCTACAACATGCCTCAAGGCCTGCTGCGAGTGCCCGTGGAGGACAAGGAGCCCCCCATGTCCATGACGGGGTTGCCTCAGCTGGAGCTATTTGACTTGCCATCTTTTGTTTATGATATGGTGTCATATCCATCCTTGTTAGCCAATCTGGCTAACCAGTTTTCCAACTTTAGAGAAGCCGATTGCATCTTTTTCAACACTTTTGAGAGCTTGGAGGAAGAGGTACACAGCAGCCAATGGATCAAAGCAAAGGATAACCCGTCAGACCCTAACAAATTAATTCTATGTTATGCCGCACATTCTATGGCAGTTTTAACCCACTGCCACAATATCGTTGATAAATAATGACTCTGTTAAATATCAATTAATTTGTAGCTGTCTTTTCATAAATTATTTTGATTGATTTACTAATTTTTTGTTTCACATTTTTTTTCCCCAAATTCTATTAGGTGGTGAGCTGGGCAGCGAGCCAGTGGCCAGTCAAGAACATAGGGCCAACCATTCCATCAATGTACTTAGACAAGCGATTACAGGACGACAAAGATTACGGGCTCAGCCTCTTCAAACCTGAAGCTGAGACTTGCAGAAAGTGGCTAGACTCAAAGGATGATAAGTCGGTGGTTTATGTGGCGTTCGGGAGCTTGGCGGCACTGGGAGAAGATCAAATGGAAGCAATAGCACGAGGCCTCAAAAGGAGCAACAGACATTTCCTGTGGGTGGTCCGAGAGACAGAGCTGAAAAAGCTTCCGAGCAACTTCATGGAGGGGACGGTGGAGAAAGGCCTGGTGGTGACATGGAGCCATCAATTAGAAGTCTTGGCACACAAGGCAGTGGGGTGCTTCGTGACTCACTGCAGTTGGAACTCAACGACGGAGGCACTGAGTTTGGGAGTGCCGATGGTGGCCATACCACAGTGGAGCGACCAACCCACCAATGCAAAATTTGTTATGGATGTCTGGCGGGTGGGGTTGAGGGCAAAGGTGGACCAAAGGGGACTGATAACAAGCGAAGAAATTGAGCTGTGTATCAGGGAAGTCATGGAGGGGGAGAGAGGGTTAGAGATCAAGAGGAACTCAGAGAAGTGGAAGCAGCTAGCTAAAGCAGCAGTAGATGAAGGTGGAAGCTCCGACAAAAACATCGAAGATTTCGTTGCAGATCTTGTCTGCTCCTGAAATGCTCTGTGCCTCTGTCTCTATATGTCTCAAAGATATATCTGGTAGTTTTGAGACTTTTCTATATATGCACGCATACTTGTGTGAGAAATAATCCTTGTTTTAGCAACTTGCTCTTCGAAATAATGAAAATAAAGAATAATAATAATAATTTATAACAAGAAGAAGCTTTAGCATGCTTTATAAAATATTTTCCAACCCAAAGTACAATTGCAATGCAAATGGCCTGAGCATGCGAGAGGTTGAGGCATTCTATAAAATTCGGGGAAAACTTGTACAATCACTCTTTTATTTCAATCCGATATAGATGGCCTCACTAACAAATACAAAAAAGAGGACTAGGAAGCCTGGCAACAATAAACAAGACAAGATGTCGCTACACTTTATCGTTTTTGTATACATGTATTTTCTATCAGCATTGTTTACAGTACTAGTATGTCCTTTGTCATATTGCTAGAATGATACATGATTAGATGAGTATAAACCAACACATCAGGAATTTCCCAGCTGAAGCCCCAACCCTTTCTTATACTTGGGTTCAGAAAATTTATTGAGCAATCATTTTGGAAAACTTAGATGGTCTCAACAGAGATCAAACAGGGACGAACCGTCTACATTGGTCGATCACCCATGTTGGTTTCTTCGGTCCGACTGCCCAACTTGACAATATCTTCCACAAGAATCTTCCCCTCTGTAGCATGAAATCACACCAAAAATAATCATATGGCAGATTAATGCAGTTAATTTTTCGGCATTAAAGATTAATAGACTTGAATAGAGGTCCATTTGTGCGTAGATTTTTATTTTATTTTATTTATTTTTTTATTTTTTTTAAGAAATGAACAAGAAAACACAACAAACCAGCTAATCTCCACAAGCCCTTGCATTACTGGTTTCTTCGGTCCGACTGCCCAACTTGACAATATCTTCCACAAGAATCTTCCCCTCTGTAGCATGAAATCACACCAAAAATAATCATATGGCAGATTAATGCAGTTAATTTTTCGGCATTAAAGATTAATAGACTTGAATAGAGGTCCATTTGTGCGTAGATTTTTTTATTTTATTTTATTTATTTTTTTTAAGAAATGAACAAGAAAACACAACAAACCAGCTAATCTCCACAAGCCCATGCATTACTCTCATTCCCTCGTGATAATGGAACAAACACATTGACAAAAAAGAAAGGCAACAAATTAACTGACCTCTATCTTTGGAAAGACTGCTTATGAGCTCCTGGACACCCTCCTTGCCTAACGTATTCTTCAAGTACATTGCTGCACCAGCAACCTCCTCAGGAGATACTTTCCCGTCAAAATCCCTGCATACATATATGGAAGTGCTAACATATTGAGAGAGAGAGAATTGTCATGAAGCTATTTCTTATTTCAAAAATGCAAAAGACAACAAAAAAATGAGCGGGAGAGAGAGAGAGAGAGAGAGAATTGTCATGAAGCTATTTCTTATTGTCATGAAGCTATTTCTTATTTCAAAAATGCAAAAGACAACAAAAAAATGAGCTCTGACAACTTAATACATGCAGCGCATGGCAGATACATGATGTTATCAATCATGTCGAACTTGCTCAAAGTGAAGAAATACCAACAACAAAACAAGAGAGCTGCTAGTGTCTGATGGTTAAGTTTCAAGCCAAATCTGTAGTCTGATAACCATTCCATCCAAGGGATAATGGTTATAATTAATTAGTCAGATAAACTAATACATTAAGATACGAATGTTCTTTGCAGGAGATTTCTTAGTGCTATAGTACATGAAGACACGATGCTGTAAAATCCCCTACTTGGATAGCAGAGTACTTACTTAACTTAAAAGAAAATAGGTGAATATTAGAATCAAGAAATAGAAACGTTTAACCACCTGTCAAGTAGTTGCCAACGATCACCAATTTTAGCATCTACATCGTCGATTTCCTTTTCAAGATTTTGAAGCATAGCATCGACCTAAAATTTGAAAAGGGAAAAAATTTAAAATAAATAAAAAGAAAAATTTCAAAAAAAGAAGTCGGTGTTTTCAGAATTGCAGAAAGAATTATCAGCAGAATAATTGAAAGTTAAATTACTCACTCTGTCTATCAGTGCTGATGAAACTTCATCACCTTCAGCTACCTCACTAGCATTCTCAGTTTCTTCTCGGGCAGCTCTATATGCCTTAATGGCATTTTTCTCTCCATCCATACCCTCCTTGTCCACTATGCTATGATAAAGTTCGATCTGAAAAGCATCAGACAAGCATAATGTTTTTTGACAAACAGTAAAGTTACGATAGTATACAGAACAGAGCACATTTGACCCCCCACCCTCCCCGCGGCAAACAAAAGAAACAAATAGAGAATTTAAAGTTCGAGATGACATAATCACACCACCAAGAGTATGGTTGTTAGTATAATTACAATGACTACTCTTTTAACTTGAGATGATGATGACCATCATAATAAAAATAAATCTCTTCTTACTTAAAAACGTGATCCATTTGGAAAAAAGCATACTACATCCCCTTGAAGCCAACACACGATACAGGAATATTGGAAACAAAATTTTAGTAAGGTTATGGAACCTCTAGCTAAAAACCAAGATAGTGAATTACCTCCTTATTTACAAGCCTCAGGAATTCTTCACGTTCCCTACTCACCGACTGCAGGTAACAAGTAAAAACTAAATAAAACTTGAATATTTAGGGAAAAAAGAAAAACAAGAAGTCGCAACAATTGATAATATACTATAACAAATAAGAGCTTTCAACATTAAGTTCTTACAGATGCAGAAGCTAAAACAGCCAGTGCATGACTGAGTTCACATAATTGCTCTTGCTTTTCCAATGCTCTTGCTCTGGCTTGCTCTTGTGCCTCTCTTGCAGTTGGAATAGACATCTCTTTCAATGCCACATCCTCTCGGCTACCCTCAGATTCCTTTATTCTCGCTTGCTCTTCTTCCTCCCTCTCTTCTTCCTCCTGCAATATATAACCGCACAAATAAATAAATGAAATACTCAACTGACCATTTTCATCTTTATCTATTCATTTATTTTGTAGTCCATGCAAGAAATCTAAAAGCAGAATGTTTAGAGCTATCTATTTTCCTGTGAGGAAAAAAAAAATAAAAAATAAAAAATAACTTCCTAAAGCAGAAAATTCAACCTTGATAAGTTCTTCCTGCATCTCAAGGTACTCCAGTTTCCTCCTCCTTTCAGATACAGAGTCTTCAGAGGGCAATGCGGTAACACCAACAGTTCCCACAACCTCATCTGGAAGAGAAGATAATGTAGCTTGAACAGCTTCCTCTGGCCTCAACTTTCCCGATACAGTGAAGGCCCTAGACGAGGCATCAAAAAAGAATCAAGCACAACATGCACACATCAAGAAAAACACTTGAAAGAAATAGTTTGTGATATCTTTTGCAAATTAAGTTACCTGGAAAGGATCAAAAGTGAAGATGGTACAGAATGATTCAGAGACAAATCCAACCAATCACGAAGCTGTATTAAAAAAGTTAACAACAAATGATTGGCAGTAGCTTCAGAATCAGGTACACTAGTTAAATTGTTATTTTTTCTTTTTACTGATTTGCTACTTTTGCAAAATCTCTCCCTCCCTGTGTCAGAGAGAGAGAGAGAGAGAGAGAGAGAGAGCCTCTTATTCTCCCTATTCTAACTAAAAGGCATGCCAAATAAGAGTAAAATAGAAACCTGCTGGCGCATTTCTTCAACCGAGAGCAATCCAAGCATGCCTCGTTCTCTACAATCTTCACGAAGTTCAGCTTCTGATAGAGACTCCACACCTTCAGCTTGGATTAATTTATCATCGGCTTTAATGCTAGCAGGAAAAGGAAAATCAATCAACAAAACATGGTGAGCGGCACCACTCTAGTGCCTGAAGTCCAAAGCAATAACATGCAAGTTCAGTTCCAATTACTTATAAAGTTCAGAGCTCTTCCTGAATTTCTGTAGGACATTTTTCTTGGTCATGTTTTGCAAGTTATATACACTGAGAACACTTCTATATTCCATACCAACAAAAATGTCTAGATAATTTCAAAAGTAAGATGATAAGAGAAGACCAGGCTCGAATGAGCACATATTTCATGGAATGCCCGGTATGCAGCTTTTGATATCAAAATCCACTCAAACTCACGTATCTGTGCTTCAATCAAAGGCTAGAGAACTACTAGAATGCATGTGTAGTAGCTTTTGATATGAAAACATGTATCACCTTTGAAGCCTTTTCCGTAGCATATATCTTAGATAAGCGTCCGTTCCAAAAGGGCTGATTCCCATATATTTGCACATATTGACTAGTCGAGGCCTAAAAGCAACAAAAAAAATGAAAGCATAAAACTTGCAACCCTCCTTCCACCGAAAAACTATCGTAACAAATTTTCAAGAGCAGAAATATTTATTAGTAAACCTAACCTGCTAATATTATCTAAGGTAAGTTCATCATTAAACAACTTCGCAAAGCCCAAAATTTCCTCATTTGAAACTCGACCACCCTTTCGAACCTGAAAACAGAACAAAAAGTACTTGTATAACACAAAGGAGATCAATATGAATAACAGACACAGAGCATTTGAACCAAACTCCTCACTTTGTTCAAGAATTCATCAAGATCTTTTGCTGTTCTTTTTATTTCTCCACTTCTTGAGTTTTGAACTTCCTTGGCCATTTCTTTGGCGGTGTCTTGGAGGAACTTAGCATATTCTATCCTTGCGTTGAGTCTTCTTTTCAATGCTTCCTATACATAATGTCATTAAAGGTGAAGACAAATTGAAAGTGAAAACTTTACTCAAAGATACTCAGGTAACTCTTTCAGTGTATGGACGTGTTTGGCACATGTATGGTATATAACATGTGAAGATGAAATTGTTGTCGCACTATATGCAGATCCAGGTAAACATATATCAGATCTTCACCAATGCGTACGTTTTCCTCGAGGTAAAGTATGCAAAAGATGATATTTAGACAACTAGATTTATCAAATTTACTACCTGCTCTTTCATCTTGTCTTTAAACGTTGATGGCAGCATATTGGGGAACAATTTCAGGAATACTGGAAGCAGAAATTCCATAAATGGTACAATGATAAAAACTGCAAAAGGAACTAGCCTAAAAATATCAACAGTGGTTCGTGTTAGTTGTTGCCTTTCCCTTCTAGAGAGACTCTTCCCATCAGCAAGTTTTAACAACAATCTTGAACAGATCCTCACATCTGCCCATAGCAGCTTACAACCTAACCAATAATGTTGCAAGGTCGATACAAATTCCTCTTTCCAATGAATAAGCTTCTTCGCCCAGTCCTCCCTGCAAGAGAAACAACAAACCAAACAATAAGCAAATGTAAGACCATATCAACTTATATAAATACAACACTTTTCGAAACAAAATGCATCATGCTGAAAGAGAATCTAACTTGCTCATAGAAGCTACGGCTTTCAAGGCAGGACCAATTCCTAAAAATGTGGTCCATACTCTGCGCAAAATGGAGTTAGCAACTTTTTGTTCTTGCAACCTTTTGGCCTTTGCTTTGGCTTTTGCTGTACTTAAACCTTCAACAGCTTGATCACATTCCTCCGGAGATGCTTCTTTCCTTTTCTTACTAACCAATTCTTCATTTTCCTCGTTGTCACTGCCTAATACCTGCTGCTTAGCAGCAGCGGTAGAAGCATTGCGAATAGACTGAGATATCCATCTAATCCCCAAAGGAGAGGTATATTCGGATCTTCCATTTCCGAAACCCAAAGCCATACTTCCATAGTATCTTGTAGTAAATTGTCCTATTCCTGATAATTCCCATAACTTCCCTTTAGTCACTGAAGTTCCATTTGGAGCGCTTATGTGATTAACATTTGTACAAGCAGATTCTATATTGGGATGGGGAGCTGGTGACTCCAAATTCTGAAAAGTATTCTCATGCCCGAGGATCTGGAAACTTTGGATTGACCGGTAAGAGGCGTTTAAGTAATCAGAAACAAACCTTCTCCTCCTCAAAAGCGCTTTGGAAGCCATTATTGAACTTCACTCTCGTTACAAAAACAAATACATCAACAACAAGCTGATAAAAGCAAAACCTGCCCAAAACAAAAGAACGGGAAAAAGAAAATAAGCAAAACCCTACCAAAAAGCAAAAAGTAACAAAGAAATATCCTCTGCAAGAAGAAAATCAGAACTCTAAACTATGGTTACACACATAATATCTTTTATTCATAACAAACAAAAATCACAATTTTGCTAGATATAAACAAAAGATAAAATAAGAACGTAAACTAGTCACATCATATTTCAACAAAGTTTCTACATATTTATTGCATCCTAAACAGAGAATGCATCTAGTCTAGTAGTAAAAGAAAGTTGCCGATTTGCCACTCCACCCTTAATTACTTTTCGACCTTAAATTTAGACCGTCATAAAAGTACAAAGAGATCACATCCATCAAAGTAAAAAAGAAAAATAAAACAAGGAATACATAAAATTTATAATGAAAAAGTGAGACACAAAATGAAAGTTTTACATGGAACACATAATTTTATTGATAAATATAAGGTGAAATTTTTTAAAATACCAAAGGAAGAAAAAACTAACTAATTGAAAAAAAAAAAAAAAACAAAACAAAATATCGAGCATCACAAGTTCACAAAATTCACTAATTCATCAACCTAACCCTGGAACGTTCAAAGTGAAACACAAAAAATAAACACTTTTGTTCCGACGTTAATCAGAGAAAGAGAAATGAAAGTTTCAACGGAACACGTGGTTTTATTGGTAAATGTATCATCAAGTAATGAAAAAAATGAAAATACCAAAACTAGCGAGCCTCATAATATTTTGAAATTCATGAATCGAACTCTGGAACATTCAACGTGACTGACAATCATTTCTAAATGTTACGCATTTCAAACAAGCAAGTGATCGCACCAATCGACGTATTCTGTAAACTCCAGAAAAGAAAAAAAAAATGTGTATTTATAATTCCAAGCGGTTCTTCGGAAGCAAACAGGATCATAGTATTTAGAGGTACAAAACAAAATAAATAGAACGAAAACAAACGAAAAGAAGAGAAAATCTCAGCATCTAGCATCAACGAGCTCGAATGAAGAAGACGAAAGGAGTATGGACTTACAGTAGGGGCGCTAACAGAGAACCACCAAGAAAGAACGAACGAACGAACGAACTGCGGAAAGAGAGAAACTGGAAATGGGGGTCTAAAAGTCTGAAGTCCCAAAAGCCAACGGTGAGGTTTTAGAGATGGACTAAGGGTGTGTTTGGGTGCTTTTCGGGAGGATGCAAACTTATCAGGGTTGGGGCAAGATTGCCGTTGGATTATTCTGATGGGCAGCTTGTTTGGTCTATCTTGATTATGTGGGCCCCTCTCTACTTCCGGTTGCCACGTTGACACTACTGTTTTGGTTATGTCGTCGCACGACTTCAGCTAGCCGTCGTTGCGATTGCCTTTCGTGTCGCACAATCCACATGACCATACTCATAAAAATATCGTTTGGACTTATTTAAGAAAATAATATTTATTTTTTGTTTTAGATTCGGAGATATTTTTTTTGTGTTTTTTTCTTTTTGAAATTCTGGTGTTTTGTATTTTTTAATTATTAAATTTGTATTAAAATTTATTTATTTTATATATTTTTTAATTAAATGTGATTTTAATTATATTTAACGATTAAAAAAGTAAAAAACGTTTCTTAAAAAGAGAAAACAAAGAAAAAACTCTCTTAAATTAATATAAAAGTACATTTGATCAGGAGAAAAGGAATGCAATGAAAAGAAATAGAGCCCAATTATGATGTTTGGTTGGTTAAAAGTTAAGAATGACCTTCTTTGGAATGGCTTTTTTACTCATTTTAAGGTGCGTTTGGTTACAGTGGGAGAATGATAATGATAATAAGAATGAGAATGGTAACGAGAATGAAATGAAAAAAAAAGTTGATTCATTTGTTTGGTTGTAATTTTAAGAATTCTCTGAAATGAAACATGAATATTTTCATGTTGACAAACTTATCCTTATATTATATATAATACTAATATTTTATCTATCAATATAATATATAAAATGTAATATAATATAATAAAATTAGTATTATATAATTATGATATATAATATAATAATATTATTAAAATTGTTAATATAATTATAATATTTTTTTTTTATAATGGATAATAATATTATAATTATAAAATTATAGTAATATTTAATTATATTAATTATTATTATATTATTAATATAATAAAATTAACTATATTATATAATAAAATAATAATATTAGAATTATTAATATAATTATAGTATTATTTATTAAAATATTACAACTATATTATATTAGAATTATGAATTTACAACTATATTAAAAATCAATTGTTTGGTTCTAATCATGGAGGCCATGTGAATCACGATGCACGAAAACAAAATCCCACCGTCAAGATATGAAAAGGTCTCTAAAAAGAAAAGGAAAATAAATCTGAAAAGGTCCAGATTTTGAAAGAAAAGAAAAAGTCTGGCATCGTAAAGCATATATCGATTTTTTTTATCGATCTAAAAAGTGTTGTCTTCAGTTGTTATTACTATGTTTGTGGGTATGTTTTTTTCTGTACATTTATTTATCAAAAATAAGAAAAGGGCAATTTTGTCCACAAGGAATATATTCTATTCCATTATGAAGTATTTATAAAATCCTAACCAAACACCTTAATACTCTTTTCTTGCCGTTCTATTTCTTTACTATTATTATTCTCATTTTCATTGCTATTCTATGAAAGCAAACAAACACATCCTAAAAGTATATTATCAGTTGTTTAACATTAACATTGGCAAGAGGAAGATGTTTATTTAAAAAAACAAAAAACAAAATTGAACTAAAAGTTGACGTTGAATGAACAAGGTAAATCATTATCATTATCTATAGAATTCCACCATAAAAAATAATATGCTATTTTTATTGGATTGGTGGAAGAAACGGTCATCCAAAATAAATTGCATGCTGAGTAATATTTAATTAGATGCGTACGTGAACAAATGGAGCTTATACAACAAAAAACAAAACTGTTCCACACAATTATTATACATTTTAGAAAAGGGAAAAAAGGAAAAAGATTAGGAACTGTTCCAGCTCCTTTTGCCTAACAAAGACTGAGGGATGACATATATTTGAAGTCTGACGATTCTGAGTTTCAGACCCACTTGATTAGTTGCACTCCCAAAGCCAGTTAAGTTCAGAAAGTAACAACCTTCAGTGACAAAACCCAACTCCACTTTCCCCCAATCTTCATCATCTCTTTCTCTTTCTCTCTCTTCTCCGACATAACTCAAGAGTGTCTCCTTTCATTTCCTGTGATTCAATCCAATTATTACATGCTAAAACCAGATACGAAAGGCAAATGGAAATGAAGCACCAGTACTTTACTATTTTCTTTCTATTGCAGTTTAGTTAATCAAGTTATTGACTTACCAAGGAAGCTTAAAAGTGTCTTTCCACCATCCCTGCTTGGAGCAATTTGAAACTATCTTGTCCAACCGTACTATAATTTCAGAAAATGTCGGCCTCACGACTGGCTCCGGATCCCAACACTCCTCAATCAACCTGCATACATGTATCATTATGTCATGGTAGCATCATAAAAACAATAGAGTTCCTTTTTCAACTAAAAGAGACGACTGCAGATCGAATTTGTATTTGTACAGAGAAAGTTCGACTTCAGATCAAATAAGACATCAGTGATCTGACTGACTAATTCCGTGTATGATCAACGTAAGTGTATGTGAATCAAAGTGATTACCAATCTTTCACCATTTTCCCATGAAAATAGAAACACCACACCGAAACCAGGATTATAAAGCTGAATTTACATAACAGCAGCAGAATACTAACTAAATCAGACATAATGTACAATTATGATTCAGTTTTCAGTGCAAGACTTTATTTTGGTGTCAACTTCTTGCACGTTAAGAGTGGACCTTCAGCTTTTTAGACTCAGGCATCCCAGAGTAGAAAGTTTAACCACCTAGAACTCTAGTGAAATTGGGAATATGTCAAAGCACTTACTCTTTTAGATCTGGGGGGTAACTTTTTAATTTGCTTTTAAAAGGCGGTCTACTTCTTTCCAAGCACATCATCTTCAATGCCTCTCCTGAAGACTTGGGATGGAATGGCTGTATGCCCTCGATCATCTATATTCATACCAAAAAGACATCAATTCCTTTGAAAAATACTTGTATTCACCACTGTAGACATAACACACAAAAAACAAAAACAAAACAAAAGAGAGGAAAGATACACACATTACCAAAACAAAAAAAAAGTAAGCAGGCATCATGATCATGTCTTAGTATACCTCAAATAAGATGAGCCCGAAAGAATATGCATCCACACTTCTGTCAAATATCTCGTCTCTGTAGACCTCAGGTGCCATATATAGATCTGCAACAAATGAAGCAAAATCAATTAAAAATTAACAGGTCGTTAGATCAAGTAAACAGTTGTCTTGCTTGGTTTACGAAATTACAAGTATATATTTTGCACATGTGAGCACACATAAACAACAGTGAGATATTGAATGATTACATTTGTTACGGGAAGAAATAGTTTATAAAAGGGACATAATGAATATTCGAAGATTGAGCAGCAAGAATTGCACCATTCCCACCCAGTCTCTTCTTATATTTCTCAAATCTAAGTAAAGACAGTCAACAGAGGAACATGCATCGGTATATACAAGAACTTACTCAACGGATCGATGTCACCCCCAGACTGATCCAGTTTTGCTTTATCAGGAGAAATCTTTGACAATCTTACCAAACCAAATCCAGCTACCTTCAACTGACTTCCACTATCCAGCAAAATGTTTCTGGCACCTTACGAAAATTTTAAATATTAAAGAAGACTGCATTTTTATGAGAACTAAATAAAAATATATTTGTAATCATTATAATCATTTGATCAACTTTTGCATTTAGTTGTCTTACTTTGGCTTTAAATCACAGTGAATAATGGGATCTGGTTTACATTCATGAAGATAATTCATGCCCCTGTTCACAAGAAATAGAAGAAGCAGTTATAACGTTAAACTTAAACTTGGGACAGGAGTGTTAAGTTCAACTATAAGCTCGAGCATTCACAAATTAAACCAGCAAAGCACTTGCCTGGCAATGTCAAGAGCAAAGCGTAGGACTTTAGATGGAGAAAGCCGTCCTTCCCTCTGAATATAGCTTCCCAAGTCACCCTAAAAGATTACGGCAAAAAGGAAAGAAGGGGGAAAAGCTCATGTATGATTAATATGTTGGAATTTGTGCGTTTCTCTCAAGTAATAATTGGGAAAAGGAATGGACCACTCTGTAAAAACAGAGTATCCAGACAGCAGCAAAAGAATGCTCATATACGGCGTAAAAAAGAGATGATAGAGAGAGTGAGAACAAGATGCAAGAAAAGCTTACATACATACGCATAAAGAGATGGGGGGAGAGAGAGAGAGAGAGCACGTGAGTACTTACTTTTGGCTGATACTCTAAAACAATCATCATGGGCATATTCTGGGTCACAGCTCCAACAAACTGAACTACATTAGGATGTCGGGCCTTTTCTAACAACGTAAGCTCATGATTGAAGGCATTTCTGTCAAATAGAAGAACGAAAATCAGATGTAAAATGACATCTATGTCATGCACTTTACTCACGAATAGATTCTACAGGGTAATTTAAGCCAATTAGACAGGAACAAACCTTGTTGAAATAACTTATACGAAAACATCATCTACTTTACAGCGTACATAAACGTCTTATAGAAAATACTTAAATCACTCATCAAACATAGCTCTGTCATATATATAGATGATTGGAAGTGGTATGTGATGTGAACATAATTGTTAGTTGTCAACCTCTATAAAAATTGCACGCTGCCATAAATCCATTAAAAACAAAAGAGAGAAAGGCACGTTCATTAAGTGATAAAACGAGATCCGCACTTACATGCTTTCAGGGTCTGAAGAGCTATCCTTATCCAGGATCTTTACAGCAACCTTTGTACCATTCCACTTGGCCACTTGATATGTTCCCTATGATGTAGACAACCGGACATTGTCAATCAATTTAAATATGAAAAGCGCAAATATACAGCCGTACGGAGATTGCGAGCATGCAATGCTGAACAGTTGATCAAAAAGACTTGCTTTTAACGTTTTTATTTTTTATTTTGTTTATTATTTTGTAATGAAAGGTAATGTTGAGAAAGCAAAGAAAACTTAACACTTCAGCAGCATATACAATCCGACTTCAACTATTATAAGCTATCTAAAGGTCATGCAATGTGACTCCTCATTGTTCACCAATGGTCAGCAGAATAAGAAAAATAAAAAAACAAAATTTTGCATCGTGAAATCAGTTCAAGAACAATGGACCACCACATGTAAATATTTAATTTTAAGTGTATCAAGTGCGATAGAAGAGTAGAAGAAAATGAATAACCTTTGTGATACCATCACTCTTCCGGACCTGGAGCTCTAGTGGATTAAGCTCATACTCCGGAACTTCTCGAGGATTTGCAACAGCCATTGGTGTCTTCCTGGTTTTCTAATAATACGAAAAACATATCTATATAAACACAATACAAGAAGAAATATTGGACTGGAATCATGAATAAGGTAGATATTATACCGGAACTTTGGCTCCACGGGCCCTTAAAATATTGTAAACTTCTGTATTTCCATAATACTTTGCATCAGCAGCTGCCTGTAAAGATAAAGAGTACTTCAGCCATATGAAAAAGTAGCAAAAATATATATGAATTGCAACAATATTATTCCAAGTTCTGAATTTTACTAATTCTTTTATCTTCGTAACTGTAATTTAGGGCGAGATGCATGTTAGGACATAGTTTTTCAATTTTTCTTTCTAATGCTTCACATACAACATTCTTAAAACGTTGTTCAGTCGCTTTAAGTTGCATGATCTAGCCCAATGCTTGCTCTTAAATGGCCAAGTGGATACGTCATTGACAATCAAGGAATTTTGTTTTCCCATTAACGATTAAATCTTAAACTTTTCCAATTAAAAAAAATCTTAATTTTTTCGACAAGAGATCTTCTTCACTTCATAGGACATTAGGAATTCAAATTTGACGATCGCTCGACAGTAAATGGCACGAGAGAAAACAGGATGCTGTTAAGTAGAAGTAATTAGGAGATTAGTTTTTGGTCGGTTAGGTTCTCCGATATTTGTGGAGATTTGTTGTCTGAATAACAGAAATTTATTCAAAGAATGTTTTAGTCTCTTGTCTAAGCATTATTTTTAGTCTACCTACCAATTTGTATAAACAGCTGTCATTGTATTGATTTAATAAAGATCAAAGATTCAACTCTCAAAATCATCATAATTCTTTCTGTAACTTCCTTTCATTTTCGTGCACTTTCTCTGCTATTCTTTTCTTGATTGATGCTATCTCGAAACAATTGAAGATATAAAAAAAAATGTCAAATTTGATTATTTGCTTTTCATTCGAAGGAGAGAGATAGAGAGAGATATTAGTACCGTACTGCCCCAGCGATCGCGAGCGTCAATATTGGCACGGCGGCTGAGCAAGAGCTTGGCAACCTCGACGTGGCCTTCGCAGGCGGCGATGTGGAGGGCGGTGCGGCCGTCCAAATCAATGCTGTTGACGTCGATCCCCTCGTCGAGCAAATCGTCGAGGCCTTTGGTGTCCCCTCGGCACGCCATGAACAGAAGTTGCATCGTGGAGTCGAGGTTATCCGGCACCGTGAGCTGGTCATCGTCGATGGGACTCCGGCGTATTGGATCGAGCGACGATTGCCTGCCGAAGCTGAATCTGAGGTTGGTCTTCCTCGGGTCAAGCGACAACTGCCTCGTGAACTGCCGGCTCAGCGTCCGCCGGATTGAGCCCTTCGGGAACTGCCGCGATATCCCCCGCTTCAATTGCGCTGCTATGCTCTCCATACTCGAACTTCTCCGCAAAACAAAATTCAAAAATCAAAAACTTGCGGAATTCAATTAGGAAGGAACATAATGCGATTATTTGCGATTCGGATCGAGAGCGAGGCGAGAGCTAGCTTTCCTCTCGATGCCGAAACGAAGACCAGCTATAGAGGAGGAACAGCAGGCGATTGGATCAGGGAATTGAAGGCTCAGACTTTGAGAGATAAAGAGGAGGAGGAGAGAGAGACAGAGAGAGTCAAAAAAAGGATTAGAGATGGATCAAAGCGAAGCGCATTGAAGGGAGAGAGAGGGGGAGGGAGAAAAAAGAGGGAAATTAACAGAGAGTTTCTCTGTTTTTCTTCTTGTCATTTCTTTTCTTTTCTTTTTTTTCAAAGGAAGGACAATTAGGATAGTAAATAAATAGATAGAGACAGAAATAGAGAGACGACCATTCAAAAAAATATATATATAAAAAAGAAAATAGAGAGACGAAGAACCAGAGGAATGGGGCTGTGGTGCTTGTGTCCGAACACTTGTGCGCAAAGGCCGTTATCTATGATACAATTCTCTTTAAAAACGCGGCAAAACTCTATTCTACTTTCTAACATAATGTTAGAAAAAATGGAAAATTTTACTCTTAATAATAGTATATGAATTTAAATTTTTTATTTTTAATAAATATTTTTTTATTAATGTAATTATTTAACTGACAAAATTATGAAAAAATAAAGAATAAAAATTTTATTCTATACACTTTTAAAACGTATTTATTAAAATCACTCAACTACGTAATGGTATTATTATATTATTTAGGCTTGGTAGTGGAGGAAAAAAAAAAAAACCTTCATGTAACATTAAGTGCCTCTTTTGTGGAAGGGAAAAGTGAAAGAAAGGAGATGGGCAAATAAATTAGTGAAAGAATATTGGGATTTATGATTGTTAGTAGAGAAGCGATTTAACAATTTTGTTCGTATCCACAATCTATAAAACATTCTTTTTTATTGTTTTAAACGATTCTTCTTTTAACTATTATATATTTCCTTAATTTCAGATAACATATTTATTGTTTCTAACTACAACTTAATTTTTTAGTAGTTGAATCATGTTATAGTCGGAAATGAAAAGAGTCTCACCTAGAATATAAGTCCTAGTCGAGTGTGTAAAAATTTGAATTATGGCAGTAATCAAGTGCTTAGCAAGAATAATAAGAGTGTCATATATATATATATATATATAATATAGACACACACAAAGAATAAGGGTTAGTTTTTTTTTGTTTTGAATTTTTTTTGTTACTAGTAGGGTTAGTTTTAACGTTCAATCTAATCAAAATCATATTAAATTAAAAAAATATATCAAACATATAATTTTAATACATATTTAACAACTAAAATATATAAGACTACTTATAATTTATTTTTTCCAGATCATATAAAAAAACTCCTTTTTTTCCTTAAAAAATGAGTGGATATTTTTATGTTTTTGAAGGATATTTTTCTTCTTAGAAAGCGAAGGACGGACATTACTGATGTGAACAGTTCCATTTGAAAAGGTCAGCCCACGTGCATTGCACGTAGCAACTCACTGACTCGGTATTTGTTTATCGGCTAGTGTTTTAGGTGAGGAGAGAGTAAGGTTCCAAAAAGTATTAAATGCAATAATTATTTCATAATAATCTAAAAGAAAATACTATGATTACTGTTAGATCACATGCATACCATATCAAAATTAGAAAAAAAAACACGTATCTATAGATGTGGTTATGATAATTCTCCTATAAATCAATCACTTAAGAATTATGAAAATATGAATTTATGATACAACTTTGAATTGTAACTGAGCAAATTTGTGCTAGCGAATGAAAGTGATCAGAGTATGAGTATAGATTTTGGTCGACAACGTCAGCGACAAGTGGTAATGTATGATGTGGACAAAATACCGTGAGTAAAAAGGATTAGATTTTTTTTGATAAACAGCCTAAATTTTTATCCGTTAAATTTAATTAGATTCATATTATATTAAAAAATTATGTAAAATAAATAATTTTTTATACAAATGTATTGGTAAAAAAAAAAGAACCATAAATAATTTATTTTTTTCCGTCTTATTAAAAAAGTAGACAGATTCGGATCTCGTGAAGGAAAAAAACAGTTTGAGTGGAGATTTTAAAAGAAATTTAACGTTACATTAATTGTAAGTTGTGTCGGATAACGCGGGAAAGGAACGTGGAATGGGGCCCATCTGATAAGGCACTTGCTGTAGTTGTATCATGTATGAGCGTTGAGTTATCTAGATTGACTTAGTCAGCTCAGTAGCCAGTGACAGTGACAGTGGCAGAGATGAAGGTCATTTAATGTCAACACGTGGAATTAACTTACACGCAATGATACACTTGTCACTAAAGTCATGGGCAGCCTACCTTCCTATCACCAATCACCAACGTTACAAAAGAAAAAAAAAGTAACCGGTGTCAACTACCCACAAGCGTGAGATTCATAAATAAATTACATTTTATTAATGATACTACTTAATGACAGACTAACAGTGGTGTCTCTAAGTACATTTTATAAAATCCTCTATTATGGGACAAATTTTTTATTAATAATAATACTTATTGTATTATAAGGCGTCGGACTCATTTATAAATTATAAGAGATAGAACGCCTTTTATGAGATTATAGGTGATTATTTTTGAGGAGTTTTTCTAATAAAATTAAAAAAATAAACTTATCGATAGTTTTATTTTTTTAAGTCATTTTAAATCGTTAATTCTGTATTAAAAATCATATATTATATATATATATATTTAATCTAATTAGATTGAAAAAATTGATTCTACCAATAAAACTACTTACATGAAACAGTGCCTTTTACTGATAATAGTGTTTGTTATCTATGGTGCTGTTGAGTATTTTCGACTAAAATGAGTGTCTTACTTGATTGCGCGAGCCTTTTATGTACTTTATGAAAATGGAAGATGTCGGCCACGCGGCTACGCTTGCTTTATGCTGGATCTTCACGTAAAACACACGCATTATTTTAGAAATGTGTATATTATGTGTAATGTTATACTAAAACTGCTGTATAAGTATTAACAAAATGATAACTAATTCTTTTTAAGAATTTACTTTATGCCTGATTTGCTCTTGTGTGCACTTCTGTAGCTCTGTTCTTATTATTCTTCCTCTCCTTCTCCTTCTTATTTTTAAGGCAGAGATAAATTTATATCAATGATTCATTAAATATTGAATCAGTCATTCCAGCCAGGAACCAATTAAACAGAAACTAATCTTAGCATATAATAATAATAACAGAAACTACAATCCAATGAAAAGAACCCGAGTACTCGTATTAAATTTGCAAATCTGAAAATTAGCAAGTAATTAAGAATAAAGGAAAGGACGAGGAAATTGGAAACATGAAGGCGATTCCACCTTACAGTACTAGTGGATGTCACTCTCATCTCATATACTGCCTGATTCTTAATCGTTCATGCATGCTAACCTGCTTTTCCCACTTTCCCCTCTAAACATTGACAAAGATCTTTCAACCCACTCTTTTTGTTTTTTTTCCCTTTTTCTCTACAAAGAATAGTTGATTTTTCCCCCTTCTCCAAACGAGCTTCTTTAACTCAAAAGGTCCAAAAACTCGCCGGTTTAAATTCTGTAGACCTAAAAGAAAAACCAAAGTTTGCATTTTTCTCTGTTATCTTAAAAAAAAAGAAAAAAAAAAGAAAAAGAAAAAGAGCTCAGAGCATATATAATTATAGCCGAATCAAGAAAGCAAAGCTAAACTAAACTGGTGTTGTTATAAGACCTCAACTCAAATGGCCTACATATGTATACTATCCAATTCAAGCTAAAAGAGGGCCTATTAAATATTTATTTTTTCAGTATCTACGTGAGATTTTTTTTTATTATTTTATTATTTTTGCAGAATAATGTTTTCCAAAGCTATAGTTTTGTCCTCGATCTTTTTGGTCAATTGAGTCTTTGCATTTCTTCTCTAATTTTATTTTTTTCATTTTTTTTACAATCACGTAAATTGCAAAATTTTCCAAGTTTTCAAGAGTAATGAAGAAAACATTTCACTAAAATTTCAAGGTTTTACGCCATCATACGTGATCAGTGATTACCTATTATAATTTAAAAATAGTCATCATCAAATTTTCTTAAAAAAAATCATCAATTTTATAATTAAGAACCAAAATATCTAAGGAAAAAAATTACAAAATTAATTTCTCTAAAGAAAAATGAGACCAAACTGTCACGCTACTAACTAGCTGGAAATGCCAAAAAAAATAAAATAAAAGCAAGTTGTTTTTCTTTTAAGTTGCACGGATGTCGTTTCCTTAGTATGACTTGGTCACGTAGTTACTACTTTAGATTTAGATAACTTGTCATCGTTTCCTTAATGTGATGTCGCTTTAAGACGCTGTAGACTAGTTTAGGAATTGTTCTTTTCACTTCACTGTCGTTTAACATTCTGACGTCGTTTTTTCAATGACATATCGGTTTCCTTGTAGATTGTCGTTCTATTTTTTTTTTTTTTTAAACAGAAAATAAAAGCATGGATTACGTGTAGGATTTAGGCAGTACTAGGTAGAGAGAGAGCGGCAACGCCAGTGTCGACGTGGAAGCATAAAATGACAAAAATGCTAAAAAAAAGAAGAAAAAAGAAAAAGGAGAGAGAGAGAGACAAACAGGCATTCCAAGTGTCATCGAATTTCCTCCCAAACTCTCCGCTCCCATTCTCAAACAATCTCTTCTCATCAATGGCCGCCATTTCTGTTCACTTCTCATCAGCTCTTCTTCATATTTCTTCTTCTTCTTCTTCGTCGTCGGAGTCTGTTCTCAGTTTCTCCCAAAAAGCCTTGGGAGGCTTCTCTTCAGCCTCTCAGTTCTCACTCTTCTGCCGCAACAATCTCGTCTTCCCTCCACGAAGCATCCAAACCAAGATCTCCGACGCCGCTTTACCCGCCGCCAACGGCTCTCCTCCTTCCTCTACCCGATCCAAGTATTCACCTCATACCTTCTATGCATATATGTATATATATATATATATATGGGTTTCACTTGTATATATTTACACTGTTTTTGTGTTTGGTTCATATCGCAAGTGACATGAAATGTGTTCTTCTTTTTTTAATTAATTTTCACCGGATGATTTCCTTTAGAAAGATTGAATCACAGCATAAGTACATTGAAATTGTTAATCAATGGAATTTGGAGCCTTAGGTATTTTTTCTTTTTGGTTTGAATTCATAAAGTAAATTAGTTTATGAGTTTTGTTTTGTTTTGTGATGAAGTTTTAGAATTTTGATTGATGTAATGTTGGGGATGAATCCAGGGTGAGAAGGCAT